CGGCCTGGGCACTGTGCCTCAGAGGCAGGAAGCCTAGCCCCGCTGTGTCGAGTCTCGTCTAGTGCTGGTGTACTCTCCTGTGGCGTGTCTGCAGGGGCGGCCAGGGGCACTGGGAGGTCCTCTTGCCAGACTCGGGGTTTCCTAAGGCTGTGCCCTTCTCCCACCCAGCTCCCCTGGCCTACCTGCCTCACTGCCATTCCTGCGTGGAAAGCCTGCTGCCCCAAGGGGCACGGGCCGCGGACTGTCCTGGGACAGCCAAGGACGTCTGACCCCGTCCTCCTCTCTCTTGTGGAGCTTTGGTGAGGCGTTGCTGGGACACAAGAGTGTGCCCCAGGCGGGCCCAGTGCCAGGCAGGGGCATGGATGGTGAGGTGCACTGGGTGGTGGGGGCTGGGCTGGGGGCCGGCGGGCTTGGGGTGAGGCCGCCCGGCCGCGGTGGCAGCGCAGGCAGCTGCAAGGGCCGGAGCAGGCGTCTGGGGCTGGGCCGGGTGGCGCTGGAGAGGTGCAGGCCGAGGCTGTCTCCGGCCGAGTGCCCGGGTGGCAGCACATCGGAGGTCCCCCGACCCCAAGGATGTTCCTGTGGGGTGTGCCACCCGGCAGAGCAGGGCTGGCGTGTCTCGGTGTGCAGCTCACCCAGGCGGGTACCGTTCCTGTCCCCACTCACAGACACAGAAACGGCGCAGAGCAGTGAGGGGTGCCCGAACCCCACTAGTCGGATCTGATCCCGGGGCTGACTCGCAGCCCGCCCCGTTGACACAGCCGGGACCCACAGCTGGCCGAGCCGGACGGAGGCCTGCGTCCTGGGCCTGGGGCTGGGGCAGAGGGTGGGCTGCGGGGCTCTGGGTGCCAGGCCGTGAGGCGGGGCGTGCCGCCCCAGGTCAGGCACACCCAAGTTGAAGTCCCGGCCCTGCCCACGCTCGCCCTCTCTTAGCGCCTCAGTTCTCCATCTGGAGTGGGCGCCAGCTGGACTCGTGCCCCAGGAGTCCTCCGAGTGGGGCCGCGGCCAGCAGGTGTGCGGACCGGAGGGAGGGCAGCTTCTCGCAGACCTTCCGGGACAAAGCACCTGGCTCCTCGTGTACCAGACCTGCCCTGGGGCCAGCACTGGGGCTGAACTGGGGGCCCGAGGGGGCGGGTCCTGGGGGAGCCCAGACTGGCGGGGCACGGGGGGGCCCCGGGCTGGGGGGGCACTGGCGGGGCGCGGGCTGGCGGGGCCTGGGCTGGCGGAGCCTGGGAGGCAGCCCTGCAGGTGTGTGGTGCCTGCTCCTTGGTAACCCTGTCTCACTTTTGGCCCTCAGGAGTTCCCTGGACACCGGAAGCAGCCTCTCCACTGACCGCTACAGGTACTGTCTTGCCTCTGCTCTGCCCGTCTCAGGGACCCCACCGGCCCATGCTGCCCGCCTGCACCCAGTGGGCCCCAAGAGGCCCTGAGGGGAACTTACCCCACCCTCTGTGCTGTGGGTGCCCCGAGAATAACTGCAGCTTGGATGGCCCCCAGGCCATGGCTTAGCACAGACCCCGTGGGTCAGGCTCCAGCTCAGAGTGCCTCGGAGAGCCAAGACGAGCCCTGAGAGCCGTGGCACCGTGGGCACGTGGCCGAGTATGCCAGCAGCCGGTGCCTTTGGCTGGGCATGTGCACTGGGTGGGTGCTCCACCAGAAGTCTCCTGAAGGAGAGTTCTCGTCCTCACAGGACAGGCTGTGTCCTAGGGAGACCTGGGCTAGTGGTGGCCTTGGCCCGGGCGTGGGCTGTCGGGGAGGGCGACCAGTGCCTGGCTGCTGGTCCCCGGCGGGGCAGGCCTAGAGGGCCGGGTCCGGAGCAGCGGGAGAAGGGGGCCGGGCTGCGGCGCTGTCCTGGGGGCCTGGGAGTGGACCAGGGCCTGCACCCACGGCAGGAGTGAGCCGCTGCTGGGGAAGGGCACGGTCCATGAGTCCCAGGCAGGGGAGAGCACAGCTCTGCAGAGCCAAGGGGCCTGGCCTCTGTGAGCAGGGGCTCTGCACAGGCCCAGAGGGGACACGTGAGCGGAGAGCCCCACCCCTGAGACGCCCAGGCCTGGGCCCCACCATCAGGGTGGCCGGAAACACTGCAGGAATGAGCCGCAATAGGGACCAGCTCTGACCCCCTGCGGCCGCGAGACCATGTGGGCCCCGCCCAAGCGTGCACCCAGGCCAGAGGGCCAGCTGTACACACGCGTGTGCAGACTCTCCAGCCACCCATGTACGGTGGAGGTGGTGCTTCCCGGGTTCGCAGTGCTGCCAGCCCTCAGGGCTGCCGGAGGACAGGGCTATTACCGCCT